GGGGGGGGGGGGGGGGGAGTCTTTCATTTTCACCTGTCCAGGGGAGAAATGGAGAATCTCCCTCATTAGGCAAACCTCCAGATATTCATCTATTCTCAAAGTAAAACCAAAAACGTTTAGGGAGCGGGCAGAGTAATCTATACAGTTGTGCTTGAGTGCAATGCAGTCCTGTATGACCTATTTGGAAGTTTTCCCAACCAGCTGCTACTGGCTTGGTGGTAGATACTGACATTTCTTTCTCCAACACACATTTAAAGAAGAGCGTCCTGTGCTTTTTGAAAGAGGATTTCTTATCTTAAGAGATAACCCTCTGCAATAAATGAAAATGCACTTACTTTAAACGTACATTATATAGACCGCGTTGTGCGAAACACTTTCCTTGGACATTACGCTGTAGGCACAGACGGTTTGGGAATATACTGACAGCCGAGTGTGGGGTGACAGCAATCCTGGGACCCATGGGATATTCTGTCCGTCGTAACTCAGGACAAACAAATGCCGTGCTGCAAAGCTGTAGCAGGACAGAGCTCACAAGCTTGGGTGGTTTCCTGCTGCGTCCTTCCTTCATCAGTGGACGGGTTATTCCTCCTGCGGTCAGTGCGTCCAGTCAAGGGGGGGAAGGACTGTCCATAGTTGTCAGGAGACGAACAATCTCAGCCCTCTGGGCACGAGTGATGTGTTGGGTCATGTGGACGATGCAGTCCATGGCAACCTCTGGGTTTGCTTGAATTAAGCTGCGGGGAATACAAGAGAGAAGGGGGGAAAGAGGGGAACATAAAGAGAGATGCCGTTGCCAGGGTTTAATATAAAGAGTTTCTTTCTCTTCCGAATTCGTAAGGCAAAAACACAGCCGGCCTTTTGCTCAGTAACTATTTCAAGTTAAACAAAAATTAAGAAGAAAAGCAGAAGGATGGAAAGAATGCCAAGTTGGAGTGGGTCGATAAAGAGCAGCCCTTTGGAAACACGTAATGTGCTGCAATCTCCCCAGCGTCCAGAGATAGTCACCTGTGCAGGCAGCGTCCAGAGACCAACATCGGCAGCCTTTAAATGCATTTCTGCCTGTTGCCTCCTCTTTCCATATTGCAGAAACAAACAGTGCACGTAGCCTGGCCCCCCCACACATAACATTTATTTATCCATACGAAGAAAGTGACTCATTCGTGCTGCATTCTCACTTAAGCAGGAAGTACAAAGGATTAAGATTTCTCCCAGCTCCAAGAAGTGCCCTTGGGGTTCCTAAGCTTCTTTCTAGGCCATTCCAACAGTTGCGTCCTGACACCCCGGAGCGACCGTCCCGAGGACACTCTCAGAGACCCCCCCGGCCGCTGCCTGTGAAGAAAACTCTCCCCAGTACTCACTTCCGGATGTGCTTCAGGGCATAATCGCGCTTCAGGTACCGGATGTTCTCCCGGACGGCCGACTTCGCCCCATCCTCCTCGTGCAGCTGCTTCTCAAGCCACGCCGCCACCACCTGGTTGTTATCCCACAGGTAACCCTACAGGAGAAACAAAACAGAAGGAGAGCGGAACTCAGCCGGAGGAAGGGACGGTGAGAGGGGTTGGAGAGGAGCTTCGTCGGTCGTCCCAGAGCCATCTCCAGCCAGCACGTGGGGAGGCTTTTGGAATGACGCGGGCAAGCCAGAGGCAGGACGCCGTTAGGGAAGGACAGAAGGACGGCCTCCTCTCGCTGCTGCTCCGGCACGGGGGATTAACCAGGATAGCAACGGGTGAGGAGGAGAACGTGGACTAGCCGGGGCAAGGAGTGCACCGTCGGGGGACCCAGGAGCGCCCTGCCTGTTCTCCCTCCAGCCCTGCGGCAGCGCTCTCGCGAGGAGGGCCGCGAGCGACTGGCCCCTGTTTTCTGGAAGCCTTGTGCTTAGCGAAATTCCACCCAAAAGCGGGGCTGAGAGAAGCAGGCAGCTCGCGGGCGAAACGAGTCGGAGACCTTGACTGCGCCTTCGGCTTCCAGGAACCAGCGTCGCAGCATGGACTGGATGTGGCTGTTGCTCAGCTCGCTGTGGGCGCTCAGGATCTCCGCCTTGACCACCTCCTCCAGCAGGAGGCGCCGCAGTCGCCAGTAGAA